CAAAAAAATCAGGATAAAACCCAAAAAAACTCTCAAAAAATCAGAATAAAACCCCAAAACACTCCCCAAAAATCAGGCTAAACCCCCAAAACTCCTGATCTAACCCCTCAGATCCCCCCAAAACCCCTGAACCCCTTTTTTTTCGTGCCCCCCCAGCAGCTGCAGGAGTCTGGGGGGGCCCCGTCCCCCACCCGGGACGAGAACGAGACCCTCAAGGCCAAGGTGGAGTCGCTGAAGGAGGAGCTGGAGCTCAGCAAGAAGGGTAGGGGGAAATTCGGGAATTTTGGGACGGGTTGGAAGGGAATTTTTGGGGTTTTAGGGGGATTAAAAAGGAATTTTGGGCATCCTGGGGGAGTTAAAGGGGAATTTTTGGGATTTTGGGGGAAGTTAAAGGGATTAAAGGGGGATTTTGGAGGGTTAAAGGGGAATTTTAGGGGATTAAAAAGGAATTTTGGGGATTCTGGGGGAGCTAAAGGGGAATTTTTGGGATTTTGGGGGAAGTTAAAGGGATTAAAGGGGGATTTTGGAGGGTTAAAAGGGAATTTTGGGGATTTTAGGGGGATTAAAAAGGAATTTGGGGAATTCTGGGGCAGTTAAAGGGGAATTTTTGGGATTTTGGGGGAAGTTAAAGGGATTAAAGGGGGATTTTGGAGGGTTAAGGGGGAATTTTGGGGTTTTGGGGGGTTAAAGGGGAATTTTGGGGATTTTAGGGGGGTTAAAGGGGAATTTTGGTCATTCTGGGGGGGTTAAAGGGGGAATTCTTGGCATTTTGGAGGATGTTGAAGGGGAATTTTTGGAATTTTTTGGGGAGTTAAAGAGGAATTCTGGGGATTTAGGGGGGTTAAAGAGGAATTTGGAGATTTTGGGGGGGTTAAAGGGGAATTTTTGGGATTTTGGTGGGGGTTAAAGGGATTAAAAGGGGATTTTTGGGGGTTAAAGGGGAATTTTGGGACTTTGGGGGGGTCTGGAGCATTAAAGAGGGATTTTTTGGGGGAATTTTGGGGATGAAAGAGGAATTTTGGGGAGATTTTGGAGATTTTTGGGGGAGTCTGGGGGTGTTAAAAAAGAATTTGAGGTGACCCGGAACCCCCCACAAATGGGACCGTGAGGGATTTGGGGAGGATCTGGGGGGATTTGGGGGTGTCAGGAGGGGTCAGTAAAAATTCCCAAAATTCCCAAAATTCCCAAAATTCCCCAAAATCCCACAGCCCTGGAGAAGGCCGAGAGTGAGGTTCAGGCCATGGGGGGCTTGAGGGGTTTGGGGGTGTCCAGGGGGGTTTTGGGGGTGTCAGGAGAGGTTTGGGGGTTCAGTCAAAATTCCCAAAATTCCCAAAATTCCCCAAAATTCCCCAAAATCCCGCAGCCCTGGAGAAGGCCGAGAGCGAGGTTCAGGCCATGGGGGGGTTGAGGGGTTTGGGGGTGTCCAGGGGGGATTTGGGGGTGTCAGGAGAGGTTTGGGGGTTCAGTCAAAATTCCCAAAATTCCCAAAATTCCCCAAAATCCCGCAGCCCTGGAGAAGGCCGAGAGCGAGGTTCAGGCCATGCGGCGCCAGGCCCAGGGCCTGACCCGTGAGTACGACCGGCTGCTGGAGGAGCACGCCAGGCTGCAGGTACCCCAAAACACCCCAAAAAACACCCCAAAATCACCCCAAAAATACCCTGGGGGAACCTCCAAAAATATCCCAAAAACACCCAAAAAAATACTCTGGGGGAGCTCCCAAAACTCCCCAAAAACATCTCAAAAAACACTCTGGGGAAACCCCCAAAACCACCTCGAAAATATCCTGGGGGAGCCCCAAAAAATACCCTGGGGAAACCCCCCCCCCCCCCCAAAAATACCTCAAAGAGTACCCTGGGGGAACCCCCAAAATAACCCTAGGCCCCCCCCAAAAACCCCTGGGCACCCCAAAACCCCCTTGGGACCCCCTGAACCCCCGAAACCCCC